GTTTACGTACCTTTTTCCAGCTGATCACCAATCACAATCATGTATGCAACAGTACAACCAAACATATATAACACAACTAGAATCTGTGTTACAATGTACGCTCCTGGTCCTAGCAACTCTTGGATAATATCTTGAAAATATTGTGATTTATGTTTATTTGCACAGTATGCCAGGATTGGGAATGCCCCAGTTATGAACACTAATAAACACTGCAAAAGATTAAGAAGAAAACATCCTATTACATCACTTACAAGACGCAGGGGGCGGGGGTGGTAAATGGTATTTTTGTGAGCCGTGAATGACCTTATTTTGTACATGAAATGTACAATATTTATGACTATTTTTTTCTCCTGAATCATGATTTTGTTGACAGTCTTGAAACACAACTTTTCCACAATAATTTTCTGTTAAAGTGCTACTACAACTAATCTCTCTGGATATCAAAACTACATCACCCAATAGTAATTGTGCCAAATCTTACATCAGAATTCCAAAGAAAAGTCCAATAAATATGACTACATAACTTTGTGCTCAATAGACAAACCATCCACCATTACACAAATTAGAAAACTCCGAGTTTGAAAGGAGGATTGAGTTGAGAACAGAACTGACATCATAGTCACTACCAAAACTCCAAAAACATGGCTAGTTTAGCATGCAGAGCACTTTTCACTGGAAAAGATATTCTAATTTGCAAAACTGTTGTTATCGGCGTTCTTGTACCATGTTTTGTGACCATGATGTCGCAGAGAAACCCACTGCAGTGATTTTGCAGGTTCTTCAGGTTTGCTGTTTGAGCAATAGTGGAAGCGATTTTACAGTTTTATGATGCTTGTTTTAGGGAATTGCATTGACATGTTGTAAAATATTGCACTTAATCCTGAATTAAAAATTAACATAGGAAAAACTAGAAAAAAAATACAAAATTTCTGCTTAAGTAGCACTTTAAATGAGAAATGTTAAATTCATTGTGAACCAATATTTTGAGGATCTCTTCTACTATTGCTGACTCAGTCCCATTATTGAGTGACTGCGACAACCAAATCTTTGATCCATCTGGATTACTCTTAAGTGGAATGTGATTTGGTTTTTGCTGCATGTAAAACACGACATTGAGGGATAATGAAGATCTCACCAAAGTTGTGCTATATTTCAACGTAATGTTTCAAATTGTGAAAAAACGTCTCTCTTTTTTCTTGAATGATAAATGCTTATTTCATGGGTAGGGGTGAATTGTGAGGGTGAC